TTCTGCAGAGAGAAATAAATACAAATATTCCTGCTGGTAAGATTATGGGGTGGCAGAAGAAGCCTGGGATATACTTACTTGATGCCTGGGAGATTCCTGAAGAAGGGGATTTGGATCAGGGGCTTGAGGAAAGTGGTGAAAGTTTGAAGCAGATATTTTAGAGTATGGAAGATAGTTGCTTAGGCACCCATGAGAAGATTTATGGGCAGCACCAAGGCCCCAGGTTAGGTCAGATGCTGTATGTTGAGACACTGGTCTGCATGGCTGAGCTATTTTTTCCAATGCTCAGGGCTTGGATTCAGCAGCTAAGAATCCAGATGTCTGGGCTTATTATCTAGGGTTGAACTTTTCCTAAAGAGCAGCATTAGGTGGAGGATATTGGAAAGGATCATGAGTTTTGGTTGGTTAGGGAGAGAAGTAAAGCCTGGAGGCTGCTGGCAAATTGGCAGAAAATTGAGGATTTGTAGAATCAGAAGTCTCAGGGATTCTACACTTACTCAGTGTAGTAAGTAAGTGAGAGGGTAGAATACAGCTGAAGAGTGGGAGATAAAGTTTAAGACTGCAGAAGAGGCACAGGTTTAGACAATGGAAAGTTCTCATAGGTTGGATGGAACACCTGTAATGGACTCTAAAGTCAGCCAAGATGGTACTCGCTATGGGATGGTGAGGAGGACTGGAACCCAGGTGCAAGAATGATTGACATATGTCAGGAATTGGTAGATGACAGTTTTGAGGGAGACAGAGTGTCAGGCATATGGTATAAGCATCAGGAATAGAAGTTCTACATGGAGGTGTAAAGAGTATTGGTTGGAATGGCACTCAGGTGTGAGGTGATTGATGGTTCTGTTTGTGTATGAATGAAGTGTGTGTAACAGCTCTTCCACCAGAGAAGGTGGAAGGAAAACTGTCCTTAGGTACATCCAGACCAAGGTAGGGCAAAGAGGTGAAGAGAGTAGAAAGGGTAAGGATGTTGAAGGATTTGATTATCCAGTGTCTTATCCATTACAGGAAAAAGGAAAGAGGAGAGCAGTGGAGGATGGGCCCAGGACAGGAAGCATGGAGTGGGTGGTGATAAGCCTGTAGGGAAAAAAAGGTAGGACAAGTGGCTGGAAGGGCTGAATTTTAGACTGTGACCAAGGAGGGAAGAGGTAAGGTCTGGTGGGATTAGTTGACTTCAGATTTCCAGGTATTTCAGTGGCAGAACAGGCTGATGCTCAGGTGATATTTATGTCTTTTTGTTTATTTTAAATTTTATTGTTTTTTAGGTGCAAATTTACAAAGCATATTTATTTTACATTCAAATGTGTTCATGCATATTTTATTTCATATCCCAATTACCATCCCCAAGCATAAAAAACTCTCTCCCCTTCCCGTCCCTGTGACTACCCCTCCCTGTGACCTTCTTAACTATGCATTCCTGTCTGTCCAGCTTTCCCTCCATGTCAGTGCTGCCCCTCTGGTGTCTCATGGCTGATAGCTCTAAGGGATGCATCTCCCTAGAGTAGGTGGGTGCATCACCCTGAGGTAGGTGTTCTGCATGTAGGCCTTTCTGCTGTTGGGCTGAGAGCCAGTCCATGGGAGTGAGTCCTCTTCTAGGCCCAAAGGGTAACCCGGGGCCATAGTCTGTATCCACTTTATCTGACCAGTATTTCTGCTCATTTTTGTGTTTTTGAATTTTATTCCACATTTTTCCTTCCATTCTATCCAGAATCTCCAGTTTAGATTCCTTTCCAAGTGGTTTGCATTGGTAGTCAGGTACCATCTAGTTCTTCTGGTCTCAGGGTCATGAAGGCTAAGGTCCTGTGGTCCATCTTATCCTTGCACTAATTGTTTCCAGATGACTTTGATTTTCTTCACTCTTCTTTGCTTCAGATGAGAAGAGACCAACAGTTGCATCTTAGATGGCTACTCGAAACCTTTTAAGATCCCGGTCGCTACTCACCAAAGTAGGTTGTAGAACAAGATTTTTATGTACTGTGTTGTGCCAATTGAGTACAATGTCCCCTGAGACTGTGGTCCTAAGTCTTAAGGCCCTGTAATTCTCTCTCTCAAGGTGTTTGGTTATCTCTGAAAAGTTACTCCAATTGTCTGTTGTTTCTGTAATGTATGTGGCTAATTGTGTAGCACAAGTGCATATGTGAGATTATCTTCAGCCAAATCTGTCTTTGGTCTAGGGTATATATACTCCTGTTTGCCTACTCTCACCTGATCTTCCCACCTGTCTATACATTTATCTGTAGCGTGGTGTTTGGTGTTAGTGATAATGCAGTATCATGCATGTACTAGTATTTACCTCTGTTGTCTGTATCTTATGTGCACATTCCAGTGTCCTTCCTTTCCCCAATGTCATCATGCTGGTCGCAGACTCTTTCCATAGCGTCCCTGTGTGACCACCGAGTAGACTGAAATTTTCCTCCCTTTCCCTTCTATCCCTGGTAACCAACAAAGTGAATTTCCTTCCCTGTATAAGCCTTTCCTTGACTTTTTATAATAATGGGCTCATATAATATTTATCCTTCTGTAACTGACTTATTTCACTCAGCATAATGTCCTCCAAATTTATCCACATTGTGAGATGATTCGTGTCTTCTTCATTATTCTTTAATGTTGCATAGTAGTCCATTGTGTGAATGTACCATAATTTGGTTATCCATTCATCTGTGATGGGCATTTAGGTTGTTTCCACCTCTTTGCTATAGTAAATTGTGTTGCAGTGAACATGGGTATGCATATGTCTGCTCGTGTCCTGTCTCTTACCTCTTTAGGATATATTCCTAGTAATAGGATTGCTGGATCAAATGGTATTTCTATTTTCAATTTTTTAAGGAACCGCCATACCATTTTCCATAATGGTTGTACCATTTTGCAGTCACACCAGCAGTGTATGAGAGTTCCAATCTCTCTGCAACCTTGCCAGCATTTGTTATTTTCTGTCTTGTTGAACTTTGCTATTATTGCTGGGGTGAGATGATACCTCATTGTTGTTTTGATTTGCATCTGTCTAATGGCTAGTGATCGTGAGCATTTCCTAATGTGTTTGTTGGCCACCAGTATATCTTCTTTAGTGAAGTGTCTGTTCATGTCCATTGCCCATTTTTGAATTGGGCTGTTTGACTTTTTGGTGTTGAGGTGTTGAAGTTCTCTGTAAATTTTGGAGATAAGTCCCTTGTAAGATATGTCATAACCAATACTTTTTCCCAATCTGTAGGTACTCTTTTTACCATTTTGGAGAAATCTTTCAATGCGCATGAGAATTTAATTTTTAAAAGATGGTAGTAATTTGCTTCTCTTCCACTGCCTGTGCATTTTGGGTTATGCTTGATAGATGATATTTAGGCTGTAGATTAGGGCTTCTAGCTTTGCCCCTATTTTATCTTTGATGAGCTTTATAGTTTTGGGTTTTACATTTAAGTCTTTGATCTAACTTGAGTTTGTTTTTGTGTATGGGGTGAGGTATGGGTCTTGTTTCATTTTTCTGCAAGTAGATTTGCCAGTACCATTTGTTGAAGAGCCTTTCTCTCCCCCATTTAATGGGGTTTGGTCCTTTGTCAAAGATCAGCTGTCTATAGATGGATGGGTCTATTTCTGGGCTTTTGATTCTGTTCCATTGGTCTGTCTATCTATCATTGTACCAATACCACACTGTTTTAACTACTCTGGCTGTATAGTACTTTTTGGTGGTATTTGTCTTGATGAAACATTTTGATGACTGTGGGACAAAACAAAGGAGCTCTGGTGGTGTAGTGGACAAAGCACTTAGCTGGTAACCAGAAGGTCAGTGGATCAAACCTGCCAGCCACTCTCTTGAAGGAAAATGGGGTGATCTACTTCCATAAAGATTTACAGCCTTGGAAACCCAATGGTAGTTGCTATGAGTCAGAATCGACTCAATGGTAGTGAATTTTTTTTTTTTTTTTTTTTTTGGGATAAAACAGTTTGAGAGAGCAGGGAAGAGGAGTAAGAAAAAACACACACAAAAGGTTAATGAAGCTAGGAAGGGGTATAGACAGCATCTGGAGAGAATGAGAAAGCTTGTTGTTGTTGTTGTTACGTGCCGTCAAGTCAGACCTGACTCATAGCAACCCCTCCTTGGGTTTCCGAGGCAGTATCGCTACAGAAGTAGATTGCCCAGCCTTCCTTCCAAGGAGTGGCTGGTGGGTGTGAACCGCCAGCCTTCTGGTTAGCAGTCAAGTGCCTTAGGCACTGCACCACCAGAGCTCCTATTGAGAAAGCAGAGGCATCAATATTTAGCAAAGAGAGTTTCTCGATATGAGGGGGAGATTAATTGTATTATATTGCCAGAAGTCTTCTTTTCACTTATTAACTTCTCTTGAGATGTGCAAATTTAGGCATAATCCACCTAAATTATTTTACATTTCAAGTTTTGTACTTGGTAAGGAATGTACATCTCAAAGATACATTAAACTACTAATAGCTCATGTTAAGGAGCTCTGGTAACGTAGTGTCTAAGGCACTTGACTGCTAACCAAAAGGCTGGCGGTTCAAACCCATCAGCCACTCCTCAGAAGGAAGGCTGGGCAATCTACTTTCATAGTGATACCACCTCGGAAACCCAAGGAGGGGTTGCTATGAGTCGAGTCTGACTTGACGGCACGTAACAACAACAATAAGAACAGCACATGTTGAATTATTTTAGACAAAAAGCTTGATTTTATCTTGAAATTTTCTGTATGCAGCTTTCATGTAGAAAATTTGATACACATTTTATCAAGTGACAACATTGAGGAGCAGGAGCTAGTGAGCACAAGGTTCACCTTGATTGTGGGTAATCTGGTTGCTTCACTTCTCTGTGCAACGTTGCCCCTTTATCGGTGACACTGTTTGGCTTTTGATGCCAGCAGAAATACATAAGACCAGAATTCCTTGTTTACTGTACTTCTTTCTTTAACTGTTGGATAATGAGAGCAAATCACTCAGAGCTTATAACCACTCAGTAAACAGTACTAGAGAATACATTTGTTCTTTTTTTTTTTCCCTAGCTTTCCAGCCATCTAGCCCATCTCCTCTTCAGCCTCAGGGTCCAGTGAAACCCAACAACATTGTGACTGTCACTGGAATATCCCTGTGCTTGTTCATCATTGTTGCCACTGTTCTTATCACACTATGGAGGAAGTTTGGCCGTGCTCCCAAGTGTAGCACTCCCGCTCGACACAATTCCATCCACTCCCCCAGCTTTCGGAAGAACTCGGATGAGGAGAACATCTGCGAACTGAGTGAGCAGCGTGGGAGCTTCTCAGATGGAGGAGATGGTCCTTCGGGGAGCCCAGGGGAGATGGGTATCCCTTTGACCTATAGGCGGAGTGTGCCAGTGACTCCTGAGGATGATGCCTCTGGCAGTGAGAGCTTCCAGTCCAATGCCCAGAAGATAATCCCCCCTCTGTTTAGCTACCGTCTTGCCCAGCAGCAACTGAAGGAGATGAAGAAGAAAGGCCTGACAGAAACCACCAAAGTGTACCATGTGTCTCAGAGTCCTCTGACAGATACTGCTATTGATGCTGCTGCCGGCCCCCCCTTAGACTTGGAAACCCCAGAAGAAGCCGTGGCAAACAAGTTCCGGATCAAATCCCCATTTCTGGATCAGCCCACGATCAGTGCTGGGGAGAGGCCTCCCTCCAGGCCAGATCTTAATGTCACTCATGCCAGTTGTGCAGTAAGCCCTAGCCAGAACCTAATCCGCAAGTCACAGATGAAGCATGTGGGCAGCAGAGGGGGCCAATCCGAGAGGAGCTATCCCAGGAATTCCCACTTCAGAAGGACTGCTAGTTTTCATGAGACCAAGCAAGCCCGGCCATTTCGGGAGAGGAGCATGTCCACTCTGACTCCACGGCAGGTCCCTACCCACAGCTCTAGGACACGGACTTGGGACCAGGCAGAAGACAAGTTTAGACCTCTCAATCGAGGCACCCACCTGTTTCCTGAGAAATTGGAGCATTTCGAAGGAGCAGGTGGAACCAATGATCCATTCAGCCCTCTCCCTAAGTCCCACACCTTGGGGCAGCCCTTGCGGAAACCAGACTTGGGGGATCGCCAGTCAGGGTTAATGGCAGGAATTGAGAGAATGGAGCCTCACAGGGCTCGGAGGGGACCGTCCCCCAGTCACAGGAGTGTTTTGAGGAAACAGCCTTCCCCCACTTCTCCCAAAGATAGCTACCAGAGGGCCAACCCTCTGAGTCCTTCTCAGTGTAGAAAAGACAAGTGTCAGAGCTTCCCAGCACACCCTGAGTTTGCCTTCTATGACAATACATCATTCGGCCTCATGGAGGCAGAGCAGAGGATGCTTGACCTCCCTGGATATTTTGGGTCAAATGAAGAGGATGAAACCACAAGTACACTTAGTGTGGAGAAGCTGGTGATCTAAGCCAAGAATCAACCCAAACTCTCTACACCTGGGTCCTTAGCCTGTATTGTGGTATCCACTGCTTACATTGTTTTGTGTACTATTTTTGTATAACTGTACAATAGGACAAAATGTGGGAAGAAGTAATTCACAAAGAAGGGTATTTGCATGCATAAGGAGGAAGTTATCCTGAACTTTTCCCTTTTTGTCTAGTTTCTACTGGTTTATTACTAATATCAATGATAATAAAATTAAGTAAAACAGGGCTTGGTCTCTCACATGGACATGAAAGATGATATGTTGCAGTTTTCAACTGAAATCCTTTGAACATCTGGCAGTTTCCAAATTGAAAGAGAAATGTGATTCAGCGCTAAACAGGAGATGGAGCAAAACTAACTTGGTAACACAAATCTGAATTTTTATATGTGTGTGTGTGAATTATGTATGTAACAAAACATTTTCCATATGTACAATTCAGTGATATTATGTTTATCATGTTGTTCAATCATCACCATTATCCATTTCCGAATTTTTCCGTCACCCTCAATGTAAGCTCAGTGTCCCCTAAGCAATGAGTCTACCTTTTCCTCTTCCTTCTGCCTACTTGGTAACCACTAATAAACTTTGGTCTCTATACATTTGCCTTTTCTAGATATTTTGTATAAGTGGGATCAAATGATACTTTATCCTTTTGTGACTAACTTTTTTTCTCTCAGGATAATGTTTTCAAGGTTCATCTGTGTTGGAGGATGTATCAGAACTTTATTTCTCTTTATGGCTGAGCAATATGACATTGTATACACCACATTTTGTTTATCCTTTTATCAGTTGGTAGATATTTAGACTATTTCTGTCTTTTGGCTATTGTAAATAATGTGGCAGTGAACATTGTTGTAAAATATGTTTCTAAATTTTAATTTATTTAATTATAAACACAAAGGAAGCTGATTATTTAGGTAATGAGTCAAATGAAGACCTGTCCTTACATTCACCACTGTTCTGAGCACATTTTGGAAAGAAATGTATCATCTGAGAAAGCATCACATGAAAAATTGGCAGTGGATTCAAGGAGGGAGGCTGTGTGGCTGTGCTCCTGGGCCAAGGTGCCAGTAGAGAGCCACCCCTGTGGTGTCATTCTAAATGTGTGTGTTTAGAGATAGCACTGTTAGTTTATTCAGAAAATACGTGCATTAATCTCAGGTATATGGAAAGTTGTTGTTATGTGCCGTCGAGTCAGCCCTGACTCATAGCAACCCCTCCTTGGGTTTCCGAGGCAGTATCACTATGGAAGTAGGATTGCCC